AGTTCATCCAACTGAGAACTTGAGTAATAAGTACACTTGAATTCATCAAAGTACTACATAATAATATAACATAGTATGTTTAAGTTAAAACTATTTAATTATATGAGAAATATGTGTTAAATATTAAAATAACTCCTAAGTTAGAAATCCATACCTTAGATGGAATCTTTATTCGATCCAAAAGAAGGATTTCTCTCATAAACCTCAACATGTAAAAACCACAATCTACTTTATTACGCTGCCGAGGACACTACACATGAAAAGAAAATATGGATAAGGCCCAAGTTTTATCAAGTATCATCACTATTAATATAATCAAAATTGTGATAATTAATTAATATGCATCCACTATAATCTATGTAATGTTGTTGGCTTTACTCTTTGGTACTTGAACACCTCTTTGTGCTCGAAAAACTTGTATAATGGTAATAAAACATAAACGCATATTTAGAACAATTCACATAAATAAATAAATAAATATACACACGAATATTTAGAACAATCTCACTTACGTATCAACCATATTCTTCATATCTTGGTATGTACTTGGATTATTGCGTAAAGAATCCAGATAATATACAACTTCTCTGATAGGATTAATTGCGACCAATAACCAATGTCCAATGTAAGATTAAACAAATGTGAGATGAAAACTTTCTACACAACGTCAAAATATGAAAAATTATAATAGACGAATTTAGAATGAAAATATAACCCGTTGCCGGTATTAAGCGGTAAAAAGAACAACTTTTTGGTATCTTTTACGGCCATAAAGAACTCGAATACATACGCCATGACTTCATCTGGTTTATGAATTATTAACCCTAAGTTGGTACTGAAAGGAGATAAGAAAGAGAATCTTTGCTCCATTCCACTCGGGCGCATCAATTTTTCATACAAAAACCTTAAATAAAAGACCTCATTAACATTTGAAATGAGTAAATGAATTGATCAAATAATTAGACAGAGTAGATCGGATATACCTTATGTATGTATTGACAACACCGAGGCCTAATTGTGTATGTTGTAAAACTTGATCAAAATCCTCCATACCAATTGTTTCGGAATATTCAAAACCAAAAATACCAAACTCCATAGGTAGAAGACGAGTATTTCCTTCCGGAATATCAGACATTTCTAAAAATGTCCCAAGGCACGACCTGAACTTGAAAGTAGGTTTTATTAGCCGCGGTCTTCTTAGAAACAACCTTTTTTTTTGTGTGGAAATGTTGCTAATTTCAGGATTCTTACCCCTACCGACATCTTCATTCTCTTTAGCATGAATCTAAAGATCATATAATTATTTATGTGAAGTATAAGATCACGAATTAACATTTTCCATGCATAAATATCATATAATTGTGATGTACCTCTTTTATTGATGCCACTGACTCGGTTTGCCACAGAATCCCCTTGTCTTTTGCTTTGGATTTTGTTGGAGTCTAATTAATATAACCATGTAAAAACAAATGTACGTAAAATAGGCGTAAGAACTTTGATTACTCAAAGGTTCATATATATGGTTTTAAGAATACCTCATCATCTACACTAATGAGGCTTGGTGGCCATGCAACAAACGAACTGAATGCATCTCCCACAAGTGTGGCATCCGAAACATCGTCAGGATGTGGTAATAACGCATCCCTCTCCATAGCAATTTCAATCGATACTTTCAAACAGCTAGTAGGGAGCGGTTTAGTGTGAAGTAATTCTCCCAAAGTGTTATGCACTTTTCCCTTGCCAACCATCCGATAAGTCGGTGACGATAAGTAGAGTTGACAAGGTGAAATTCCCTAAAATCAATAATAAATTTCAAATTGTTATTGTGTATATATTTCAATTAAATAAATTAAGCTGCATTAATTTCATAATGATATATATAATTACCTCTGGAAGATTCGGTTGAAAATTATAACTGATACTACCTTTGTCACTAGTAGCTTTAAAACCTGAAGTTTGCTCTCTTAATTCTTTTTCCCTTCTCAATTCACGGACTTCAGCTTGTAGTGCTTCTAAGGTTTCCTGCAGTTCTTTATTGCTATGAGTCTTTTGTGTTTTCATCTTCAAGGATTTTAGAGTGATTCCAAATCCCTTACCCCTCACCCGACCAGAATACTCACGAACATCTAATGGTCGACTAAGTATGCTCCTGAAATCATTGTCTTCATCTGAACATATAGACTGAGATAGAGTCTCCTGAAATTCATATGAATATTGAAAATTTGTCTTAATTATATGTTACTAAACTTTTGATTTAATTAAATAAATAATGATATACTTACACATCTTCAGTGTCGTCTGGAGCATAGGTCGTCGTATTATTTTTCTCCCCCGGTTCAACATTCTCGTTAATTTTTTCACCATGATATATCCAACACTTATAACTTCGATCAATCCCACGCGTCAGTAAATGCGATTTCGATCCATCTGCGTCAACCCGACCCACATAACAACAACCCAAGCAAGGACATTTTATTCAACTAGAGTCTTTGACGTGTTCAACAACAAACTTAACGAATTCCAATACCCCATTCTCGTACTCTTTTGACAATCGATCGACAATCATCCATTTTTTATCCATGGAATTACTACTAATTAAGGTAAACAAAAACACTATAATTATTCACACAACTATTTAAAAAGAACATAAAGAAAAACACTTTCACGAACACAAAAAGAATATTAATACAAACTTTTAGAAATATTTCGTAAGATTTAATCGGATTAGTTCTAGATTGATATAGACTAAAATTAATTATTTCTATATAAAATTAATTGTTCTTTTTAATTGATATTGATAGAATGTTTTATAATTTAGGAAGCAGATAGTAAATAAATAAATGAGTCGGTAATGTTGAATTTGAACTTGACTTACCAAAGAAAGAAGATGGGTTATTGGTGCCGACGGCGGATGATGCTGCTTTGATGTTCTTCGAATCGGTGATGGTCTTCGACTAACTACACCAATACAAAAAAGTCTTAACCAACTTTTTAGTAAGCACACTAACATTGAAAATGCATAGAGTTGAGAATAAAATCACGATACCAATCCTCAAATGAAAATAAAATCAAAGAACTCATTTTGTTACACAATTTAAGAATCGGAACATGGAAAATTTATTTCAACACGTGATTTATTCGATTAAACAAAAACCGGGCAGAAACTATAACAAGTTATTAATGCTCGATGAAAATAAAATAGAAGACGATTTTGTTGTTCATTGTGGTACTTTCGAATCAAAATATTAGTAGCTTAAAAATATCTAATTAATAAAAAATTTCATTTATATTTACATTTAAAGATATTTTTTTCTTTCCAAAAGCTTTATAATTAGAGATTACGTGTGTGCGTGTATATAAGTTAAGATGAAGTAATAATAATTCAAAACATATAAATTTTGTTGTTGTATGAAAAATGAGTTAAAAAATAATGTACAATATAAATTAATTTTATAATATCAACTAATTACAAATATTTATCCTGTTAAATCAGAATGAAAAATTTTAAGCAACAACACTCTCTTCTCCTTTCTTCTTACTTTCATTTTAGGGTTTTGATTATTCTACTTCTTCATATTCTTAATAAAATTGCTTGTACAAGTAATAATGGAACAATGAAAATCTCGACAAAATGCGTGTAATTTTGCGTTTTCCATTTACAAGTTAGCTGTTTAATTTTCCTTGCATGACATACAAGAACATAGCAGTAGTAGAGATAGGAACAAGGGAAACTTACCTTGAGATATGGTGGAGGACGACAACTGAGGACGGTCGGAGGAACGGCGGAAGGACGAAGAGAAAAGAGTTCTTGATGTCTGTGAATAGAAACGAGTTCTGGAGGGATTCTATTTATTAATTCTAATTATATGACTTTAGACAGCGCTTTGGAGAAGCGCTGGCTATGGGCCTTTAACAGCGCTTTTAAGATTTTTTTTTTTAAATTTATATGACTTTAGACAACTCTTATGAAAAGTGTTGGCTAATGTGGTCCTTTACCAGTGCTTTTTTTAAGCGCTTCCTAAAGCAACCCTTTTAGCAGCGCTTTTCAGAAGCGTTGTCTAAGGTCCCACCTTTTAACAACGTTTTTAAGATTTTTTTATTTTAATTTATAAGACTTTAGACACCGCTTATGAAAAACGCTGGCTAATGTGGTCCTTTACCAGCGCTTTTTCAATATCTTTCTAAAGCAGCACTTTTCAGAAGCGCTGTCTAAGATCCCCCTTTTAGCAGCACTTTTAAGATTCTAAAGCAACCCTTTTATCAGCGCTTTTCAGAAGCGCTGTCTAAAATCGGCCTTTTAACAGCGCTTTTATTCATTTTCGTACACAGTTTTCGTGTTGTATTTTTTTATTGACTTATAGCAGCACTTTTGTTTAAAAGCGCTGTCTAAAGACCTTTTTAGCGTAGTGCGTAAATTAGAGAATATCCAGATATTCACCACTTTCGAAGTGAAATTCCTTAAAATCTCCCAATTCCAACCCCCCCTTTCTCCACCAACCTAATCAATCCTTCTATCACAATAACGAACAAGAATGGAGAAAGAGGATCTCCTGGACACAATTATTGAATCCATATATTTATTATTACATGAAGTGCATTTATATTTTATTCAGTGTTCTAAAAAAGAATAAGGGCGTAACAAAGAATTAAAAAAAACACTCAATTTATAATTTTTACAATACGGGTGTAACCCATGAGATTACACTTTAAAAATATTTGTTATCTGCTATACAACATATATATGAAAAATATCACAAGCTGGTTTTCATAAAATAATGACAAGTTTATAATTACAATTGTCTTATTATATCCCAAATCACAAAACAATAATAAATAAACAAATTAATCCAATTTTTTTACACAGATAGTCTTCAATAGTAAATATTCACCCTTTCATCAAAGTGTGCTCTCACCTCATGAGCCTTTCATCATGCTGAAAAGAGCTTCAATAGCCTTTGGTTACACCTTAAACCAAGCCACAAATTAAGAAGATGAATTATTTATTGATTGATTGCAACACCAAAAGGAGCAAAAAGTCGAGGATAACCTCGACGCTGATAATCCTTTCCGGCAACATTCATTTCCTTCACAGGGCAGTTAGTGCCGCCACTTCCCGGGATAAAGGTGCAGCCAGAAGGCCCTGAGGGAGTAACAGGACCCTTATCAAGAGACTGCAATTGTAACTTGTTTTTTGTATTCAAAACCCTACTAGCTATGTTTGGTTCAACATAAGCTATAGTAATAACCAAAACCAAGACCAAAATAACGTTGAGAACTTTCATGGTGTGAAAATAAATTGAAGATTTTATAAGCAAGACAAATATTGCACTAAGAATCTCATCATGGATGCTGCTATTTATATTAATTGGTATACTTAACATTTTGTCTTAAGTCCAAACAACATATGGGATTACATCACTATTATGAAAGTAATATTAATTAATTGTTTTATTATATTAGTATGTTTGAAAGAAAAAAGTGTATCAAATTTGTTTTGAATTGGTCATATACAACTCATATGCTATGGCCTATGTATAATGAGTTTTTGACTTGAATGCATGGTTTTTAGTTTTTATTTTCCATTTCCTAATTCTGACCACGTAATCTAATTTAATACAGATATTGAAAAGGATTTTGACTAATTATGATAGTTATAAATTATTTAAACGCAAAGAATAAAGTTTACTACTTTGCTCTTGTTTGATTGAGTCTACGTTTTGACTGGAACAGAAGCAGATGGCTGAACTTGCTAGCTAAGTTTCTTGGTATTTGTATTATGTATAAAGATTTAATTTAATTTGTGTAAGAAATAATTATGTACACAATAATTTGTGTAAGAAAAAAGATAATGTAGAAATTAAAAATAAAATTATTAAATTTTCGGTGTAAATAGTTTTTTTTTTTACAAAAATAGTAACGATGTACTTACATTAAAATAGAATTTAATTTGTTTTCTCAATGTAAAATAATTTTTTTATAAAAGGTTAATTAGATTTCATAAATAAGTATTTAGGTATTTGCATGATTATATATATATATATATAAATCGTAAATGATAAGATTTGATAGATTATTTGTGTAAAAAAAACTATATTATTAATGAAATTTTTTTTTGAATAACCAGGTATTAAAAAAAAATCACAAATAATCACGTTTTGGAAAAAATTACGCAAATAACCATGTTACAGATGACTCTCCAAAGAATGAGTCATCTCACTTGGCGCCTCCACCTAGGATTTTGCCCTAGGCGCCATCTCACTTGGCGCCTCCTCTCTCTTTTAGTCAAGTGAGATGGCGCATGCACTTTAAAAGTGAGAGGAGGCGCCATCTCACTTGGCTCCTAGGGCAAAATGTTGTTTTTATAAGTAATTTGTCCGTTTCTCCGTCATTTCTCACACTTTCTTGCACTGTTTTCTTTTTTTTACTCTGTTATTTGCGTCATGACATTGCCCATAATTTTTACCAGAGATGGTTATGTTATCTTCTCCGCCACGAAACCTGCGATAAAAATGAAATTCTGGCACATTCACTCCATGGAGTGTCTGAAGCGGGAGTTGATGCGATGGCTAGATGGAGACATTGTGGAGGGGGAAAATTCGAAGGATCCAGCGAAGATGAACAACAACCTCACATGCGACTGGAAGACCTAATGTATGGTTGGAGGAAGTCAAAACAGACAGCGACGTAATATTGATGATGCATAGGTTAGATGAAATTGTTTTAACAGTTGTAATTTCATAGACGGAATATCGTGTTTTTTTCTTGTACGCGCAATATTTATTGTAGCAAATACTGTTAACGAAAAACCCTAATGTTTACAACATAATTAAGGAAAGATTTTATGTATTACAATTTTTATGTGGTCGAGCCAGACGCCTGATTCGGACAATTTTTGCGATTGTGTCCGACCTGACGGCATAACCCACACTTTCTTTCCAGTTTGTCAAGGTCGTCCATTTCGGTTGTGATGCGCTTACTTTTGGGACGACCCTTCTTGTTCCTTCGCATTTGGTCATTGTGCCACACTATTTCGCCGTCGTATGCAGGCCAATAATCTGATTTTGCTACCAAAGGAAAGTTGTTGTTGTAAACGTTGAGCAATGTTTCAGATTTGTAAATGTGTGTCAGAAGTTGTAGCGCGTCTTGATGGATATAAGCACAAGCGGCAATGACATGAGAGCAAGGCATACGAAAGGCTTGAAACTTGCCACAATCGCACCAACGAGAAGGTAGTATAACCCTATATTATTGTCTTGGTAGGCCTTCGTTGTGGTCGATTGTCTCTTTCACAATGAAGTTGTGGTTGTGTCGATCAAACCGTATAACCATATGAGTGTTGGCTTTGGCACTTTCTGCCTTAATGTACTTCATGCAACTTTCACTCCATAGTTGTCCAGATTGCAACACCGCATTCCATATTTCACCTCTTTTGGCAAACAATAAAGCCATTCTAAAATACGTAGATTTTACCAAAGCAGTGATCGGGAGGTTTCATATGCCTTTGAATACCTCATTCATCGATTCAATAAGATTTGTTGTCATGTGCCCCCATCTTTTTCCATTATCGTATGACCTAGTCCATTTTTCCACTGGAATATTGTCGATCCACCTACCGGCTTCCGGATTTGACAAACGGATCTCGTTGCGGTAATATTTGAACGTGGGTTGTGTCAATGCATATCCCGCATTCATAACCGCTTTCCTTAGTGTTTTGTCCTTGATCTCCCTCGTGAAATTCTGGACAATATGCCTAACGCAATAGACATGCGTAAAAGGAGGGTCATGCCAACGGTTTGCAGGATTATTGTAGGCACTTTCAATGGAGGCATTTTCAATGGAGGCATGTCTGTCCGAGATCAAACAGAGATCTGGTTGAGGAGCCACGTGTGTTCGCAGGTTTTTCAGAAAAAAGCTCCAAGCACCACTGGTCTCCCCCTTGACTAGGGCAAAGGCAATTGGGAAAATGTTGTTATTGACATCTTGTGCAACTGCCATCAGTAGCGTGCCTTTGTATTTCCCATACAACCAAGTCCCATCAATTTGTATAATTGATTTGCATGATGCAAACCCTATGATGTAAGGTTGAAATGCCCAAAACACTCCACTGAATATTCCGTTTCCGTTTAGTTGACTACCATCTTGGGCGTATGCTGCCACTGTTTCCAAAACGTAAACAGTACCCGGAGAATAAGTCTTGAGTGCATTCAGGTAGCGAGGAAGTTCTTGGTATGACTCCTCCCAGTTTTCGTACACCTTTTCAATCGCCTTGGTCTTTGCTAATCACGCCTTACGGTAAGACGAAGTATAGTTAAAAACCATGGTGATATGGGAGATGATGGTTTTCACCTTCAAAGATGGGTTGTTGCTGACCAGTGGTAGGATTTCTTGACAAATGAGATCGTAATTAAGTTTTTGATGGTCCTGTGATTGGGTAAGGTCGTTAACGGGTCAGTTCAACATCCCAATTCTCTGTGTGAAGAATTGTTGGGCAGGGATATGGTTGAAGGTGGTGGTGCGAGAGGTCAGGGTATACTACTCACCGAGCTTAAAAATCATTATGCAAGTTTGGAATTAAACGAAAATTGCTCTGAGCAAGACAGAGCAATAAAAGGTAGAACTTATCTAATGATACTATTTGGAACCTTTTTATTTCCCGAAAGTAAGGGAAATAGTATAAATTTTATGTATTTACATTTACTTAGAGATTTTGAAAAAACAAGAAAGTATAGTTGGGGTTCTGCAGTTTTAGCCCACCTATACAGTTCCTTGTGCAAAAATGCAGTCAAGGAAAAATGTATATTTTATGGCTGTGCTTTTTTACTTCAAGCCTGGGGTTGGTGGAGGATGGAGTCCTTAAACCCCGTCAATAACAACACATTCGTTTTCCCGTACGCAACAAAGTAAGTCATCATGTTATATCATTTATTACTATTCATCTCTTCACCAAATATATGCTAAAAATAAAATGTTTTTCATTTCCTTTAGGTATTGCGTGAGGGATATGGATTACGGCAAGAATCCAAGATTCAATGTCGCACTATACCGCAATCTGTTGGATCACCTAGGCCCGGATGATATACGTCGTACCTTTCAACTTTTCTTCATTTAAATTATTTATATATTACGTTTTCATTAACTTGATTTAATTTTTTGTGCAGTTTGTCTGAAGACCATATTTGGGTTTGGGCCATGAACCAAACCCCGAGGATGCAGCAATTTGGAGCGCCAAGACTGCAATCATACGGTTCAATGTTGTGGAGATGCACCACAATGACCGTGTGAAGATGCAGTTCGGAATGCATTAAGAGATACCAAGTGATCCGACTTGTTTGTCCTGTGGCATCTCAAAAGGGTCGATGCCCAGTGGGGTCTTACCAACTGGAAAGACTTTGCTCCAGAATGGTGTAAGATGTGGCAGAGGCGTCACCGACATGTCTTGCAATTCCCGATTTTCCTCAATCATGGTAATATGTGACACACGGATCAGTATTTATCTTGGTACAGGTCGGTTAGTAACTCTGAAATGCACGTGTCTCATCCAAGGTATTTGGTTGACCCACGAACACAATAGGCACAACCCTCGTTTCCCCAACAACAAACCCAACACACATCAACCTCCCACCAACCCCCCAGACGAAACAGAACCACAAACACCCAACCACAGTCTCCACCACAACACAATTACACCCAAATGCCCCACAACCAACCACAATCACCACCTCAGTACCAATACCCCCATATGCCTCACACCCAACCGCAATTCCAATCACAATAACAAAACACCCTCATACCTCACACACAATTTTTGTCTTATGTATATCCCAATATGGGCCCCTCAACATCCATCCTTAGCCCTGATTTGGGAATGTCGGAAGATTATGAACCAACCGACCCAACTTACCATCAACCACAGTATCACCAAACCACCCAACATCCTCAATACCAAACACCCCAAGATCCATTTCCTTTCTATCCCTCGTACTCAGACGATCAATGCTACAGACCCACCATGGAACCCCACCCACCGCCAACACGACCAAACTTTGAGGGTATGGGTAACCAACTGTACCAAAGCGGATCTTCTAGATATGGAGATCTGACTGATTTCATGGATCCGGAACGCATTGACTTCGCTGGGTCATCGACCCTGCCACAACAGGAAACAAGATGACACCCAGCACTGGAAAGGCGAGGACGGGGATGCGGAACCGGGGGTCATTACCGGGTTCCGGGGGACCACTGATTTATCTTTCTTTTTTATCTGTTTTTTTTATGTAATACT